CAGGGACAAAAGTGACCATCTATATTTTATCACATGAGTACTATTATTTGTATTTAAATTCAAATATTCAGTTTCTCTAACCCTAAATCAAAACATTAACATCATTTAAAAGTTACATTTAGAGGCTACACTCAAAATTTCCATTTGATTTGTAAGAAATGCTCTTTTATTTCTCTCTTTTTTATTGTCACTCAACTTAACTTTAAAACTTGTTTAAAAACACACTTTTACTCTCTGGCTTTTGGCACAGCCTGAGACTTTTTTTATTCTATTTTTATTGTTTTATTACTGGTTTAATGTTTCTAATCGTTGTCTTGTGTTTTCATGTTTTGGTTTTATATATGTACAGCACTTTGTTGCAGCGGTGGTTGTCTTAAAGGGCTTTATAAATAAAGTTGAGTTGAGTCAGTTAAAAACATTTTTGTTGTTTTTTGCAGCCAATAAATGCTCACAGAACCTGGTCTAAAATCACTTTCTTGCATATCTGGCTTCCATCACAATCTACTRAACATCCTGACAGACTGATTTCTGGACTTATGGAAACTATGTGTGAAACGTTGCTCCAGTGGAGATCTGGTGACCAGAGGTCAAAGCAGATTAGGTTCAGTAATCAGCAGTCTGTTTTTATTCTTGTGTCCCTGTTTCTGGCACTCAGGCTGCGTGGGCGACTGAGAAGGTTTGACCCCACCCAATACAAGTCAGATGTGAGGAATTTACAACATCATGGCAAGCTCAAMCAAACTGGCATTGGTTGATAGTGAAAACTATTTTCAGATATCGAAGCTACAGTGTTTGTGTTCCAATCTGGCATCTTAGATGGAAAAAAAATGCTATTAAAAAGGCAAAAACAAGAACTGCGTGACCTTTTGATGACTTGATTCTCTAAAGAAAACTGCAAACAAAGTTTTGGTTGGCTTGAACTATCAGTTCTGCTTAGATAAGAGAGTCAAACATGGCCAAGTGGAGGCMGCTGAACGCTGAAACAAGCCATTTGGAGCTGGTTTTCTTGCAGAGCATTCGATTTTTAAGCACTTAAAAAGAAACTGAATCTTGACAAGAAACACTGACACAGATCCTGATTCCAACATKATCCCTCTGAGGGATGGATGGAAACGTTTGGATGTATATGAAAGCGCTGCAGTGTGATGAAGCGCCGGCTGTTTTGTGGACACAGACTGTAATTACTGCCTGCGCTGTGATCCCTATGCCTGACCCGAGGTAACCCTAATCTGGATTTACACCAAGTCAGCACATCATTTTCTCCCCACTTTCTTTCTCACACACCCCGGGAACTATTTCAAGCCTTTAACCCACACTTCTCCTGTATTTACTGAACTCTTCCTCCATATCAGACGGATTGAGATATAATGCGGTAGAGTGAATCTATTGCGTGCATGCACATAAAAATAGGATTTTTGTTTAATTAATGCTCTGGAACAGAGTAATGCATGTTCAAATTACCAAAAAAAAAAAAAAAAAGAATCAAAGACATAACCCTTGAACATCATCTTTACATAATTCTAAGGAGATATTTGCTTTTAGGTCAGGCCAACTGATGGTTTTGGGACGTTTCCTCGTCCTGCTCATGATGTTTGGGTCAAGGTCCACAGCAGCTGCGGATCAAACCAGCCCTTCAATTATTGTGGCACCGCTTTGGAAGGAACAACCAGCATATTGCTGGGTTTTGTGTGTGTGAGAAAAAAAAAGTACTGTAAGGGAGTGTGTGTCGCTAAAAGGTCGGGAAGTTTGTATAGATGAGTGCAGWGTGCTTGAGTTCAAGGGACTGTGTGTATGTAGATCATGCACGCTAACAGTAGGTGTTTCCTTTTTGCGTTTAGACGCTCGTTAAAAGAAGAAAATGATTGCAGCCATCATATTCACTGCAAAACCAATGCTGGCAGCGTGGTGGTGCAGTGGTTAGTGAGGTGTTGCCTCCCAGCCTGGGGTCTTCTGTGTGGAGTTTGCATGATCTCGCGATCATGAGTGGTTTTTGTTCAAAAAAACTCCAGTTTTCTTCCCACAAACCAAAACGTTAGTTTAATTGGTAACTCTAAATTTTCCTCATATGTCTTAATGTGTCCCTGTGGTGGACCTGTGGCCTGCCCTGAGTGTCCCCTGCCTCTCGCACGCTGGCGAAAGGCACTAGCTGTAAGATGGATGGATGGATGGATGGATGGATGGATGGATGGATGGATGGATGGATGGATGGATGGATGGATGGATGGATGGATGTTCCCAGCCACCGTCTGTTTCCTTGGTTTCAATGGCAAAATGCGAAAGCAGACATTAAGAAAAGGAAGAGAAAAAAAACTTTTCCATATAAACAAAAAAATCACGTGCTTGTTTTGTTTTTGCAATTTTATTTTGAAACGAAAAAACGAAAAAACCAAAGAACGAAACATACCCACGTCTGCTCATACATAAACAGGAGCATAGTTAATTTTTTTTTGAAATAGTGAGTTAGTTGAATCAATTGGCGTTATGCGAATGTAAAAACAGCAACCTTTACTAAACTACTCATTTTTAAAGTTCAATTAAATCTTACTGCAGCCTGTTTCTGTTGTTTCTTTACTCTGGCATTAGATTGAAACAACTCGATTAGAACTCTTCTTGGAGAAGAGACAAAATGTCCAGAGGACCTACTCAGCTCTTTTTTTCTATCTGATTACTGAGATGCATCAGGACACTCTGTGATGATATATGTAGCTGTTAATGTAAAACCGGTTAAAGACAATGAGGTGAAGTATGGAAAAGCACAAAAATCAGGAGAGCAGGAAGCAGAATCAGAGTCAGAACAACCTGTAATTGTGCAAACAGACCATACATGAGTAAAACCAAGGAGCTCGTGTACACTTATTATGACCCCCGTATACACTTATTATGACCCCCGTGTACACTTATTATGAACCCCGCATGCGAAGCATAAGCGGGAGTCATATTGTTTTCGTACTGTTTTTTTTTCTTCAGTGATTTTTGGTCAACCGTACCACAAAAACGACTGCACCAATCAACATGAAATTTGGCAGGACTGTAGATGAGTCTGACCTACACTGCGCCAGCCAACGGTTTTATGATAGACCCCATATTTGAGGAGGGGGCTCCATTCAAAGAGGGGGTGTCAGGACATGCAAAACTGCTTATAACTCAGAAACTGTTCAACATAGAAGCTTCAGATTTCTTTTGTTGTTTAGCTCTGATGAAGCTCTATCCATCAGGCCCACCAATCAAGGCCCCCCACCCCCTGGATCCCCAATTTATCTGAAAAAGGGGTATCTGGATGTACAAAAATGGTTATTGCTCAAAAACTATTAAACATAGGCGATTCAGTTTTTTTTCCCTTTTTTTTTTTTTTTTTTTGGTTGTTTAGCTCTGATGAGGGCTATCCATCAGGCCTACCAATCAGTGCCCCCACCTCCAAAAAATGAAGACCCCCACCTAAACCACTACAATTTTGGAACGTACCTAGTAGCATGACATTTATTAGGAATAAAGACTTCTGAGTTCTGGTGCATTTGTGAGTGCGGGGGTCATTATGTTACCRCTATGCAATATCTAGTTTTAGAGTGGGATAAGATGATAGCAGGTAACAGGTCTGTAAAGTTAGAAGGAAATACAACAGAGTAAGAAAAGCTACTCTAAACATCACATTACCAAAAGAACAAAAACAATGTAAAATGTATTTGTAACATTTAAAGATGACTTCCGCCAAATAAAGCACATTAAACTGTTATATGTAACAGAGCTGAACGACATGTTTGCCTGTTTTTGAACAGTCATGTTTTGTTTATCTGTTTTTTTACTTGGCTAGGTACACACACACACACACACACACACACACACACACACACACACACACACA